GCTGGCAGGTGTGCAGGCCCAGGGAAGTAGAGGGAGGTGAGGAGAGATGGGAGGGTGAATGAGGCTGGGAGAGTCAAGGCATGGAGGGCGAGATCGACTTACCCCTGAGAGAGGCCTGTGGGTTGTGCAGGCCCAGGGAAGCAGAGGGCTTTTTTTTGTCTTTTTGAGACAGGGTCTCCCTGTAGCCCCAGCTATCCTGGAACTCACTGTGTAGACCAGGCTCGCCTTGAACTCACAGAGATCTGCCTGCCTCTGCCTCGGAGTGCTGGGATTAAAGGCGTGCACTACCAAGCCAGGCTGTGTATGAGTATTTTGCCTGAATGTATGTAAGTGCACCACATTCGTGCAATACCCACACAGGCTAGAAGAGAATGTTGGAATCCCTGGAACTGGAGTTGTTAGCTGCCATATGGGTCTCTGGAAGAACAGTAAATGTTCTTAACTGCTGAGCCATCTTTCTAGCTCCCTAAAATGTTTATTTACATTTATTTATTTTCTGATCTGGAGAGATGGCTCAGTGGTTAAGAGCACTGACTGCTCTTACAGAGGACCCAGGTTCGATTCCCAGCACCCATATGGCCACCAAAAACCGTCCTTAACTCCAGTTCCAGGGGAATCCAAAGCCTTCTTCTGATCTCCACAGGCATTGCATGACATGGATGCACTTACACACATGCAGGCATAACACTCATACACATAAAATTAAAAATATATAAACATTTATTTTCCTTTGGGTTCATATGTGCCACATACAGTGCACTTGTAGAAGATCAGAGACCAACTTTTAGGAATGGGGTTCTCTCTTTCCTCTGTGGGTTCTGGGGATTAAATTCAGGTCTCAGGCTCCAGCAGCAAGTAACTGAGTCATCTTTCAGGCCCTTCTTTGTTTTTTGTTTTTGTTTTTCCAAATAGCACTAAAGTTTCACTGGCTTTATGCCACTATTCCATCCTCTTCCCTGCTTTCCTCTCCTCTCTCATCCTGTCCTCTCTCATTAAGAACTGGAATTCCTGGGCTCTAGTGATCCTTGGTTTTGGCCTCCTAAGTAGCTGGAATTGCAGGTCTGTGTTACCACAACTTGTTATGCCAGTATTTGACCAAGGTTCATAACATAGTGTAATTAATACGAATGAGGGAAAAAATAGATCACCAGTTTAGTAAAACTTACTTCTTAGGGTTTTAGTATATTCCTATTAGCAATGTTTTATTCAGCTGGTCATCAGAAAACATCAGATTTGTGGATTATCAGCACAGTCAGATTTATACTTTGTATTTATTTATACTGGATTTAATACAGTTTTTTTTTCTTCCTGATTTAATTAACTTTCATGCAATTAGTTTGTTATTGGTACATTTTTGTGATAATAAAATCAATGAAATTTCAAGTTTAGCACATAATATTTATGAAACAATCCCTTACACAGCAGGCCTCTTCACCTGCTAAGCCATACGATTAAATGAATATTAATTGAGACAAACTATGTGCTAATACAATATGAAAAAAAAATCTATTTTGGCTGGATGTGGTTGCTACTGCTGTAATCCCAGCACTCAGCAAGCTAAAGTAGAGTTTGTGGCCAGCCTGGGTTACAGAGTAAGTTCTAAATCAGCATTGGTTGCAGTGAGACCTTGTCTCAAAAAATCCATGTTGGCCTCAAACTCAGAAGGGCTGGGATTATAGGTGAGTACCATTATGCCTAGCACCAACCTTAATTTTGTGTGTATGCATGCTCATGTGTGGGTGTGCATGTGTGTGCCTATGTTCATGCATGTGGAAGCTAGAGGACAACCTCAAGTGTTCCTCAGGTGCTGTCACCCTTTTACTCTCTTACCAACCTGGAACTTCTCAAGCATACTAGGCTGGTTGATCAGTGAGCCTCAGGGACCTAACTGTCTCTGCCTCCTCAGTCCTAGTATTACAGTCCTGTATGTGTATGAGTGTTATGCCTGTATGTATGCAAGTGTGCCCATGTCCTGCAGTGCCTGCAGAGGCCAGAAGAGGGTATCAAATCCCCTAGAACTGGAGCTACAGATGGTTGTTAGTTGCCATGTGGGTGCTGGAACTTGAATATGGGTCCTCCGCAAGAGCAGTCAGTGCTCTTAACAACGGAGCCATCTCTCCAGTCCCAAATAAGTTATTTTTAAATAAAAAATTTTAAATTAATGTGAATAAAGGTTTTTATTCAGTAGAAAAGGCCTTACAGAACTTGATAAGTCAGTAGAACAGATAATAGAAAAATTACCATTGTGTTTATTTGAATGAATTTGACCACTTTAGATATTTCATATAAGTGGAATCATATAGCATTATCTTTTGGTGACTATGTCTCATTTCAGATAACAAAATGTCTTCAGGTCTTACCCATATTACAAGTGTCGTTTTCTTCCTTCTTTTTTTTTTTTTTTTGGTCTTTTTTGAGACAGGGGCTCCCTGAAGCCACAGCTGACCTGGATTTTTATGGAGACCAGGCAGGCCTCGAACTCACAAGAGATCTGCCTGCTTCTGGGTCCTGAGTGCTGGGATTAAAGGTGTGTTTGTTTCCTCTTAAGGTTGACTAATATTCTGTTATGTGTATACACTACAATTTGTTTATTCACTCATCTTTCCATGTACAGTGGGCTGCTTCCACCTTTTGACTACTAGGTATAATGTTGCTATGAACAAGGATGTACAAATCGTTGAGACCTTGTTTTCTCTTCCTCCTCTTTGTCCTCTTTCTCCTCCTCCTTTCTGTTCTTCTTTTTGCTAGGCAAGTCTTCTATCTGTGATCTATAGCCCCAGCCCTTTTTAAATTTTGAAACAAGGTCTTGCTAAATTATTGATTGGCTTTGATTTTGTTCTGTAGTACAGGCAGGTCTTAAACTTGCAATCCTGCTTCAGCCTTCAGAGTAGGTGGGATTACAAGCCTGTACCATTAGGCCTAGCTCCTTGTTTCCAATTTTTCTCCAATATGTACCCAGAAATAGAACTGTTGGGTTGCTTACATTGTTTTGTTGTTTGTTTTTAGTTTGTTTGCTTCTGTTTTGGGTTTTGTTTGGTTTTGAGACAGGGTCTTGCTATGTTGCCCAGGTTAGCGTTGAACTCCTGGGCTCAAATATCCCTCCCAACTGGAACTATAGGCCTGCTACATGGCATCTACCTTGCTTATCTTGTTTTGCTCTTTTATGGGAATATATAAAAAACACAAATATGTGCTATTTGTATAATTTAAAATACACAAAGGAGGCTAGGCATGGTGGTGCATGCCTTTAATCCCAGCAATTGGGAGGCAGAGGCAGGCAGATCTCTGTGAATTCAAGGCCAGCCTGGTCTACATAGTGAGTTCCAGGACAGCTGGGGCTACAGGGAGACCTGTCTCAAAAAAAACCCCAAAACAACAACAACAACAAAAAACCCACAAAGGAGGGATTGATGAGATAGCACAGCAGCTAAGAGTGCTTGTTACTCTCACATGGAGGCTCCCAATCACCTGCAAAATCCAGTTTCAAGGACTCCAGCACCCTCTCTGACCTCCTTGGGCACTGTACACACATTGTGCACTTACATACATGCAGGCAAAACACTCATACACAATAAATATTAAAACAAAATATTAATGTGTATGCACACACAAAGGAACAAAAAGGTAACCATGAGGTGGTGTATGGAATCACAAGCTTTTACCTATGGAAGCAGTACCTGGATGTGGCCATGGTAGGAACTGTGTGTATCTAACAAGTAACTTAAATTTTTATTTTATTTTATGTGTGTGTTTTGCCTGCATGTTTGTAAGTGCACCTGTGTCATGTAATGTCCATGGAGGCCAAAAGAGGGCATAGAACCCCCTGGAACTGGAATTACAGGTGTTGGGAACCAAATCAAAGTCTTCTACAAAAGCAGCCAGTGAGCTTAAGTACTGAGCTATCTCTTCAGCCCAACAAGTGACATTTTATTTGTTTATTTATTTCTTTATTTGTCTTTTTGAGACAGGGTCTCCCAGTAGCCCTACCTGACCTGGAATTCATTATGTAGACCAGGCTGGCCTTGAACTCACAGAGATACATTTGTCTCTGCCTCCTGAGTGGTGGGATTAAAGGCATGTGACACTATGCCAGGCTCCCAAGTAACATTTTAAGCTTGTCTCCTCAGTAGCCATTGCCGGATTAATCTGCTTCCTTCATGTACGGGTAAAATTGGACAAATTGACTTATTCAAATACATTTTCCAGTTTCCTGTAATTTATTTTTTTAGTTCTGTATTTTTATTTCTGCAATTCCTTTCATTTAGTGTACCTTTTTTATCTGCCCTCTTACATTCATAGCAAATGAATTTTACTCCTATCTCAAATACTTTCCTGCTGGTAATGGTAGGCTCATGAATACCTGTGATCTTAATACTTGGGGAAGCTGGAGCAGGAGGAGTTTCCTGGCCAGCCTGGGTTACATAGCAAAATCCAGACACATGTCTTTCTCAGGACTCTTCACCACACATAAGAAATGGACAAAAGTTCACACCTAATTCAAACTTCAGGTTAAATTCAACATTAACAAGCTAGGTCTTCTAGCCAGGATTTCGATTAGGACCCATATTTAACCTTTATCAATGAATAGCTATTCTGCTACACGTCACAGGCACCGCTATGAAAACTAGGCACCTGCCCTCGTGGAGTTTCTATGCATTTCTTTCACAGACCTCCTTAACTTGGCGATACCAAGAATTCAGTTTTCGTCTCAGTAGAAAGGACCAGTCACCTGGGGGGGGGTGGGGTCCATACAGTGCTTTGAAAGCCGTACATCGACCACTCAGTACAAACGCTAGGGACGCCACGGTCACCAGCTTCCAGTAGCGTACCTCAGCTGAGAACAAACAGCGAAGCTACACGTCCGGAGCCACACCCAGGCCCCGGCGGCGCTCAGGAAGGCGCGGGCTGCTCCTGGGCCCTCTGCCCGCGTAGGCCGCAGAAACGGCTTCTGATTGGCCAGGCGTACACGAGGGCCCGCCTTCCGCAAGCTGCGGGCCTATCTCATTCGGGGTCGCCGCTCCTATGTGGAACCGCAGGCTTGAGCCCGCAAAGTGAGCTCCAGCGGGTCCTCTGCCCCAGACCGCCTGCCAGCGAAGGTCCTCCTGGGGCGAGGCCACGTCCGAGGTAGGACTCGGAAGGTCTCCAGTCTTTGTTCTTCGCAGCGAAGGGGCGGGGCCGCGTCAGATCCCGTCCCGGAAGCGGAAGTGCAGGCATCGCGGTGTCCGGTCCACTTCGACCCCGGCCCGTGTGGCAGCGGTTCCGCCCCGTGGTCTCGACGCGCACTCTAGGTTGCGGCTGTGTTGTCTGGTCCCACCATGCTGTCTCTAGACTTTCTGGATGATGTTCGGCGGATGAACAAGAGGCAGGTAAGGTTTGCGTCCCTCCCTCCGGTGTTCTCCTCCCCGGCTGCTTCTAGCCCCTTGGCCGTTGCGGGGGCCCCACGGATCTCTGGGCCAGGTTATGAGAGAGGGCCTGCGTGAGTCGAATGCCCGGATCATCCCCTTTCTTTGCAGCCTGGCCAGAGGCCTCTATGCTACGATTTATACTCCCAGATTTGGGGCTTAACAGAGACGGAGAGGGAAGAAGCGTCTAATCCATCCCTTCTTCCCAAGGCGGCAGGGGAGCAAGTGGAAATGGGAGGAGTGCTTTCTAAGTGGGAATTGAGGTTGCGTATTGGCTCAGACTTGCTAAGGCCATAGACTTAACAGTTTGCATTGTCGAAGCGACTCTCGATCGATTTAGTAGTTCGCTTCTGCCTCTGCCCCTGGGGCGCTGGGAAAGGCGATTGCAGGTCCACAAAAGAGGTTTTGCAGCTCCATTCCATAGCCATCCTTTCAGCCCAGCCGGGCCTTCGCGGACCGCGTCCACTTTCACTTGAATCAACTCCAAGCTCGGAGTTGAAGCGGTAATTCTACCTGTCCCCTTAACAGAAAGGTGGGGGCAGCCCTCTGAATCTTGGTTTGATGGACCGACGTTGGTGGTATAGAAATCTTGAAAGTTAAGTCTTCTGATTTTATCCTTAAGCCTTGACTTTGATCCTCGAGATCATATACTAAAAGGTACTGAGAACATTGTCGTAATTATTTATTACAAAAGATTTCACTGAACCAGGTGTGTCTGGAGGTTAGTTTTGCTGGCAACGAACTTCCCCCTTTTGCAGCGTTTTGCTGTTAAGAATTGTCTTGAGGGTGTGATATCCTCATACCCACACACATACACAAATAAATAAAACATTTTATTTTGTACTGTTTATAATGATCACTTAGAGAAGTAGGTATAAAGTCTCCTCTTACCTCTCTTTAGGCCATCTCCTCTTAGATGTGTCTACAAAATTGGTGACATCTGTATCAGGATGCCGGGACCTAGCACATGACAGTCACAGGCTAAGACAGAGCTATATGCTCATCTTTGAGAGACCTTATTTTTTATTGCTTTATTTATTTTGAGACAGGGTCTTGGTAAGTAAGCTCACACAGTCCTGCCTTATCCTCCGGAGTGGTGGAATTACAGGTGTATGTTACCACATGGTCCTGGTGGCTAGGATGACTATTTGTTCTAACAAAGTCTTGATATGTAGTCCATTCTGGCCTTGATCTCACTCTGTAGCCCAGGCAAGCCTGGAACTTGCATTCCTGCTTTTGCTTCCAGAGTTCTGGGATTAAAAGCATGCACTATACCATGCTTGGCCAAATGATCTTTTTTGTTTTTAATTATGTGTAGTGTGTGTCTGTGTGTATATGCATATGTGAGTTCAGGTATCTGTGGAGGCCAGAGGTGAAGGATTCCCCAGGAACTGGAATTACAGGCAGTTATGGGCTGCCTTGATGTGGTTGCTGATTGAACCCAGGTCCTCTAGAAGAGCACCAAGTGCTCTTAACCGCTGAACCATCTCTCCAGCCCCATTTTTTTTCTTCTTCTATTCCTAGAAGGGATAAGGTAGGTTGTGTGTGTGTGTGTGTGTGTGTGTGTGTGTGTGTTGGGGATCAAACTAAGGGCCTTTTCACATTCTAAGCACGTACTCAACCATTGAACCACATAGGGAACCGTTATTAAACTTGTTTTACTTAATTTCTTATTTAAAAAAATTATTGGGGGCTGGAGAGATGGCTCATCAGTTAAGAGCACTGGCTGTGCTTACAGAGGACCCAGGTTCAATCCCTAGCACCCACATGGCGGCTAATAACCATTCCTAACTCCACTTCCAAGGGATCTGATGCCTTCTTCTGACTTCCATGGATATTGCACAACACAGGTGCACCTACCTACATGCAGGCATCACACTCATATAAAAAAAATTATTATTGTGTGTCTGATGTGTGTGTGAATGTAGACATACACAAGCCACAGTGTTTGTGTCAAGGTCAGAGAACAACTTCTGGGGATTGGTTCTCTCCTTCCACCTTGTTGAAGCAGAATCTTTCCTGTGTTTGCCATAGTGCATTCTCCAGGCTAGCTGGCCCATGAGCTTCCAGATGATTCTCCTCTCTGCTTCTCATTCCTCTGTATGAATGCTGGGATTACAGATGCATGCTACCAGGTCTGGCTTTTTTGCATGGGTCCCTGAGGCTTGAACTCAGCTCATCAGATTTGGGCAACAAGTGCATTTAGGAACTGAGCCATCTGCCTCTCCCACTTTAAATATCTTATTATTTAAAAAAAAAATTTATGTGTATGAGTGCATGGCTTACATGTGCACCAAATGTCACGCAGTGCCCAAGGAGGTCAGAAGAATGTGTTGGGTTCCCTAGAACTTGAATTAGGATGGTTTTTAGCCTCCATGTGGGTGCTGGGAATTGAACCCAGGTCCTCTTCAAGAGTAACTAGTGGTGGTGCACGAGTTTAGTCCCAGCACTTGGGAGGCAGAGGCAATCGAATCTTTTTGAGTTCAAGGCCAGTGTGGTCTACATATTGAGTTCTACACCAGTTGGGACTACAGGGAGACTCTGTCTCAAAAAGAAGAAGGAAAAAAAAAAGTAGCCAGTGCTCTTAACCACTGAGCCATCTCTCCAGCCCCAACACCCTCCACTTTAAAATACATTTCTATATTTATATATTTGTGTGTGAGAGAGAGAGAGAGAGAATGTGTGAATGTGTGCCTTGGCACACATGTGGACATTAGAAGATGACTTGCCAGATTCTGTTCTTTTTTTTGTGCCATATGGGTCCTAGGGATTGAATTCAGATCTTGGTAACTTGAGGTGTGTTGCTGGTCCCCTCCCACACCCTTGGTTATTGATTGATTGATTGATTTTAGTGATTTATTTTTATTTGTACAAGTGTTTGATTTTGGTTGTGTGTAGTCCCCATGAAGGCCAGAAGAGGGCTACAGAGCCACCATGTGGGTACTGGGAGTCAAACCTGGGTCCTCTGGAAGAACAGCAAGTACTTTTAATTCTTGAGCCATTTCTCCAGCTTGATTTTTATTGAGGGACAGTCTTGCCTTAAACCAAGTATGAGGACAAACATCTGTAATGCCAGCACTTGGAAGGTTGAGCCAGAAGGAGGCCTAAGGGTTTGATGTCAGGCTGGAATTCAAAGCAAAGCCCTGTGTACAAAACAAAACAAAACACAATATAACACAACACACGACACAACATGGTGGGTCCTGGAGAGATGGCTCAGTGGTTAAGAGCAGTCATTGCTCTTGCAGAGGACCTGGGTTTGGCTGGTTCACAGCACCCACATCCTGGCTAACTATCTGAAATTCCAGTGCAGAGGATCTGACACCCTTCTCTGGCCACTGTGGGCATTGCATGCACATGTGTACCTACATACATGGAGGCAAAATACTCATGCACCTGCAAAATTTTTTTTAAACCTCATGGTGGTGCATGTCTATAATCCCAGCGTTTATAAAGGAGGTAGAGGCAAGAGGATCAAGAATTTAAGGGTTAGAGAACAACTTGTGGTGTTGGTTCTCTCCTACCATATGGCATCTGAAGATTGAATTAGGTCACTAGGCTTGGTGACAACTGCTTTTATCCACTGAGCTACCTTGCCTGACTAAGATCACCCTTTAAAAAAAAAAATTACATTAGTATATGTGCGTGCCACAGCTCATGTACAAGCATTAGCCACACCTAGCCCATTAGGAGGGCTTAACATGTGAAGCCATGGAGGTCCAAGGACAACTCATGGGAGTCATTTTTCTTCTACCATGTGGGTCTTGGGGATCAAACTCAGGTAGTCAAGTTTGGGGGCAGGCACCTTTATTCATAGAGCTACTCCCTCAATCACCTTTTAACCAGGGTTTTTTGTTTGTTTGTTTGTTTTGAGACAAGGTTTCACTTGTAGCCCTGGCTGGCCTGAAACCAGCTATGGTGGACTAGGCTGACCTAGAACTTATAGAGATCCATCTGCCTCTGCCTTCCAAGAGCTGGGATTAGAAGTGTGCACCACCACACCCAGCCCATTAGGGGTTTTCTTAACCTGTGAAGCTTAGTTTTGTAGAGTTTACCTATCTCTGTGATATATATATTTCCAAAGTGGCTAGTATGCTATTAATACAACATCATGAAGGAGTAATTAGGAAGAGACAGGCAGCTGCATCTATAATTTCCACTCTACAGACAAACAGAAAAAGCAATTTCAAGAGCATAGGTGATAGTAAGTTAGTAAAATAAGAAATGATACATTTAGAACATTTACTGTGTTTACATATTATTAATATGAAATTGTACTAATTTATATATTTATATTTTAAAAAGTTATTTTTATTTTTTAATACTTTATTATTTTTATTTTATGTGTATGAGTGTGTTACCTGCATGTATGTGAGTGCACTTGTGTTCTGCAATGCCGCAGAGGTCAGAAGAGGGCTTCGGATTCCCCTGGAACTGGAGTTAAGGACAGTTTGTAGCTGCCATATGGGTGCTGGGAATCGAACCTGAGTCCTCTGCAAGAGCAGTCAGTGCTCTTGGTCGCTGAGCCATCGCTCCAGCCCCTTGGTTATTTTTATATTATGTATATGAGTGTATTTGCCTGCGTGTATGTAAGTTCACCTGTGTCATGCAGTGCCCACAGAGGTTCAAAAGATGGTGTCAGATCCCCTGGAACTGGAGTTTCAGATGGTTGTTAGCTGCCATGTGGGTGCTGGGAATTGAACCCAGATCCTCTGCAAGGTCAGTGCTTTTAACTTCTGAACCATCTCTCCAGCCCCCTAATTTATTTATTTATTTTGGCCGTTTTGGGGATTGATTTCTGGGCCTCCTGCGTGTTAACCACACACCCTACATTTGACTTAAGTACTCATCCCCTGGAACTAGTTTTTTTGGTCATTATTTATTTGTTTATTTATTTACTTATTTATGGTGTGTGTGTGTGTGTGTGTGTGTGTGAGAGAGAGAGAGAGAGAGAGAGAGAGAGA